TCGAGCAGTATTATCGACCAATACATCAATGTGGGGTAATGGAAAGTCATCTTTCGGACTCGCATTATTTAGATTACGATAATCAACACACATTCGAATCCGACCATCTTTTTTAGGAACAGGAACAATATTTGCCACCCATTGTGGGTAAGTTACTACCTCCAAAAATCCTGCTTCTAACTGCTTTATTACTTCTTCTTTTATTTGCAAGGACACCCCCGTGTTCATTCTCCTTAACTTCTGTTTCTTAGGCTCGACCTTGGGAAGTAATGGTATTTTATGAGAAGCAATGCTTGGGTCTAGCCCAGGCATGTCTTTATATGACCATGCAAACACATCTATGTATTCTTTGAACAACTCAATCATTTGTTCTCTTTCAGGATTATCTACTATTTTGAGCATTCTTTGATCCTCCTCGGTTCCCATATTAACCATCTCAATCACTTCTTCATGTGGGCATATTCCCTTATCACTCAATTCAAGCATCTTTGAAAAGTTTGGATTATGTCTTCATCATCAGACTCACAATCATGCATATCAGTGGCAACGAATGAATCATCTTCACAGGGTTTATTAATCTCTGGGTGGGAGATGGAATCAGAAGAAACAAAATCCCTGGATAATGAATATGGAACGAGATAAAATAAGGAACAGGAATGAAACGGAGAAAGATGTATTGAAGTAGATAGGGTGGAATAAAGAAATAGACATGAATGCAATTGAAATTCATTTTCATGAATTATGTGTATCAAAAGTTTGCATTAGTGAATACCCAAGATCTATTACCTAAACCTGGGCTCAAAAGTGGATAAAGTAGGAACAACATAATTGAAACAATTACTCTAAGCTAATGACATCATTGGCCTCTTCAAACTCCCAATTCGCCAGAACTTTGTTGGAATCATCGACTGCAATTGAGGCACTTGTTCTGCATGCTACATCTTCATTAAAAGAGATCACTGAGATAGTTGGTTTATATATCATCGGACGGGCCTGGGAAGGATTCTTTAATGTGTGGAATCTCCAATTTACTAGCCTTTTTGCCTTTTGCCAAGCTTGCTTTGTCTTTCATCTGGTCTTCTAGGGTAGGCTCATACCCTAACCCTTGGCGATTACAATTATCCAAAACCTTAATTGGACACGTAATTCCTTGTAAATGAGAGCCTAAACCTTTCCCTGGCATAAACCCACTCTTCGTCATGATTTTAGCCACGACGGAATTGATGTTGTGAGTACTATCGCAAATATCTTCAACCTCTAGGCTTTGAAAAGAAACTCCATGATCTTTCTCTGCAGCCTCAATATAAGGGAGTGAGCTTGGTTTGCTCACCATGATTTCCTCCTCTCCTTTAACTGCTATAATTCTCCCATCACTGATGAATTTAACCTTTTGATGTAAGGTAGAAGGAACAGCCCTAGCAGAATGAATCCATGGCCTTCCTAGCAGCATTGTGTAACTTGGGTCTATGTTCATGAGTTGGAAATCCACCTTAAACCTGCTTGGCCCTATCTCCAGGGAGAGACAAACGGATCCTAATACTTCCCGTCTTGATCCATCGAATGCTCTTACCACAATATTACTTTTATGTACACTTGAAGCCTCTAGTGATAATGATTCAAATGTGGAGAGCGGCAAGACATTTAACGCTGATCCTCCGTCAATTAATACTCTTGCGATTATGAACCCTTCACATTTCAAAGTGATGTGCAAAGCCTTGGCTTGGTGGACAGCGGTTTCTGTAACTTCCTCTTCCGAAAAGGAAATGGTAGAGGAGGCTTTTACAACATTCATTACACTTGCCACCTTCTCAGGGGTTATATTAGGCTGCACAAAAGCTTGATTCAACACTTCTTGCAATGCTTGGCGATGCGCTTCGGAACTCAAAATCAAAGAAAGTATGGAGATACGCGCTGGAGTTTTCTTCAATTGGTCCACAATGCTGTAATCACTTTGCTTCATAATCGAAAAACTCATCTTCTAATTTTTCCATTTCTTTAGGATTATCTTCCTTTGGCCTGTTAATACTTGCATTTTTCTCTTTTACCATTTTCCTAATGTAAGATGGTAAGTATGGTTTTCCACTTCGAGTAACACCCCCTTGGTTTGCCATTTCATTGCTTGTCCCGGCAATCAACGTTGGGTTTTTGTGGTTCTCCACAATGCTTTGATATTTCCACGGGACTGCTCGATCACTTTCATAGGGAAAGGGATGAGGCGTGCTTATGGTCAATGTTGGTTGTCTTACGTGAGGTACAAGATCTGCAGAGGCTTTGTTTATCACAAAAGAGACTGCCTGAACCCGTTCTTTTGGGCTCGAATTTTTAATGACAAGCTCAACATGTTTTTTTTCTACCATGCACACTTTGGCGTCTCCCTTCTTTACAGACACGATCCCTAACGCCATCATTTTTCTAACAGCTCCTTTAAACTGTTCACAACTTTCTATGTCATGGCCTATTTTCTCCTGATGATATTCACAGTATCCAGGCATTTGATCACTGATATTATTCGTGAGGAGCATTTCTCGCATATAGCCATACTCCTTTAAGTGAGCATAAAGCTCATTCATAGGCATCCTGATCCTTGCGGAGCTTTTGAAGCACGCATCTTCTTCTTCAATAGCGTTGACTCGTTTTTCGTGATTTGGGAGTGGATCAGTAGTAAGGGTAGAGCTTCCCTCTTCTTTAAGCTGGATATGGTTAGAATCAACTAGGTCTAGCACATTCCTTTTAAACGTCACACAGTCTTCTATTGAGTGCCCAGGTGCACCCATGTGGTATTCACAAACAACATTTGGATTATACCATGCCGGGTAAGGCGGACCAAGAGGCTTATAAGGTCGCGGACCTAATAATTGGGCTGTCAAAAGTTTATGGTACAATTCAGCATTTGTTAATCCAAAATTGGGCCATGGGCGACTATCCCTGGATTGGACATTTCTCCTCTCTCCATCCTGTCCGTGCTTGTTAGGCCTGAACCCAAATTGTTGCTGTCTTTGATTCCTTCCCTCTACTTGATAAGGGACTTGAGAATTGGTAGCTGCTTGTCTTATAGGTTGAATATAGTTCACATTCCCTTCTTTCTTTTTTTGGTCATAGTTCTTTCGTGAACTACTTTCAGCTTGAGAAGTGGCTATCTTCCCTTCTCGTATGTCTATGTCAATCCTTTCCCCAATTACCATTAAATCAGCAAAATCAGTGACATGTGTTCCTATCATGTGTTGGTAAAATGGCTTAGGCAATGCACGGATGAAGTACGAGCAAAGTTCGGAATTAACCATTGGAGGTTGCACTTGCGAAGCCACTATTCTCCATCTTTGAGCATATTCTTTGAATGACTCTGATGATTTCTTGGTCATTGCTTTCAATTGTTCTCTGGTCGGAGCAGTATCAAGATTGAACTTGTATTGTCTCATGAAAACATCCACAAGGTCTTTCCATCTTTTGATCTTGGTTTGGTCTAGTTGCATGTACCAAGTCAATGCGGCTCCAGTTAAGCTTTCAGGAAAGAAGTTTATCAGAAACTTCTCATCTTGTGACCATATGGACATCTTTGTGCAATAGGCCCTCAAATGATAAATTGGGTTACTTGTACCATCATATTTATCGAAGCTTGGCATCTTGAATTTCTTGGGAACATCAATTTCTGGGGTCAAACATAATTCTTTCAAGTCTAAGGAACCCCACGTGTTTGATCCTTGAAGAGCCTTCAATTGATCTTTCATCTCTCCAAGTTCTTCTTTCAACTCCTTCTCTTTATGTAGCACTTGTGGGATTTGGAACATGTAGGCATGATCTTCCCCAGGACCATCCGGTATGTTAAAGGCCCCTATCCCAGAATCTTGTTTCTCTGGCGTGGGTACTTTAGGATCTGATCTTCTGTTTGGCTCAATTGTTCTATTAGCCGCGTTCTCATCTGCTACGGTATTCTGTGGTGGGTTATCATCACTCCGTCCTTTTAGAGCCTCTGTTAGCAATTTCATCATGTCACTTATTTCGGCCATTTTAGACTCCACTGCAGACATCCGATCATTTAAGGTCGCTGACTCATTCACGTTTGAATTTTCCATTGCACGACTACGCGATCGTGTGTTGTATGCTCCAGTGGCGGGAATCTGGTCAACTGAGTTTTTCTTTCGAGGCGCAATGTTGGCTTACCTGTGTAACATAATAATTAATTTTAATAAGTTTTACCTTTATTTTGTTTCGTAAGATATCCAGCATTGTGTAGACATAAGGGTTTCACGACACTGGCACCCTTTAAATTCCTCCAGAAATTTATTATTTCATAGGGGATTTAAAGTTGACCATTGAATTAGAAGGACATTGGATCCTATCGAAATTCAAGGTCTTAAGAAAATGATGGTAGTACAAATCAATCAACAATTTCACAACCACAAAGCGTCATGTGGATCCTCATACAATGATTCAAATGTTAATACAGATTTAGAACTTTGTCACGCTATTGAGTTCTTTTACAATTTCATTGCACAAATGGAAGAATTCAACAATCTCTAATGGAGTTCCTCTAGGGAGAACCATGCCTTCAGCTTGCTTAAATGCTCTTGCAAATTCTGGAATTTTGTCATTAGCCAAATCAATTATCTGCCTACATTTTAACATCCACTCTTTGGTTTCTTCTGTTTGATCAAGGCAAAGTGATTTCCACTCTTCTAAGACTTCATTTTGTTGATTAAGCCTCTGAACAAAGTTCTGTGCTGTCTCAGCTGCACTTCCTCTCACCCTGGCTAGTTCATTCACCTTCCTTTCCAATTGTCTTGTGAGCGTATTGATTTCTTGCTGCATCTCCTCAATGGGTCTGATGTCTTGTAATTCCTTCTTCAATGCATCATTTTCTCTGACTATTTTGACAAGTCTTGCTTTAGTACTTTGAACTTTGTTATCACTAGTTTGCACTTCCCTTTTCAGTTTGGCATTTTCCTTTTTCAATTTCTTAGTCTCAGGTGTTTCTTCAAGGTTATGCCCTTCTCTTTCCTTTGCTAGCTTCCTCCGTAACTCAACGCATTCGTTTTGGTATTTTTCCAATTCTTCTTTATTCTTAACTCTGAGCTAGCAAGCGCTTGTAACTCATTTTCCTTCATCTTCAAGCATTCAACCAATTGCCCATTAATCTCTTTCAAGTCATTGCCTAACAAGGGATTTTGAGGATGAAATAAAGGATTTGCTCCTTGAATCATACTCTTCAGCCAAGTAGTGTATTCTGGACTTGAGTTTACTACACGTATCCCTAGCTCAATCTTCCCTTTGTAACCTATCTCTTGCCATGCTTCTTTGACATTCTGGTTTGATAACTTTGTCCCATCCTCCTTATGTAGAAAGTATAACTCCTGCACCTCTTTCTTAGAAGGAACATTTTGCTTATAGGCCAGTTGCCTTAACGCTAAGGAAGGGTTATAGTTGATACACCCTCTGGGTCCCATTAAAGGCACATTCGAAAAGTCACCACAATGGTAAATAACCTCCTCTTTCCACCACCAGTCTAGTTTCCATAAAATGGAACTTTCTTTAAGTTCTGAGAAGGTTCTTTTCCAATCCATGTAGCTCATTCCGTCAATCACGAATTGGCCTTTAAAAGACATGAGTGGATTACTGTCTGAGTCGTTCTTCTTTCTGAAAGGAAGCGTCTTTCCATAAAGGTGGCCAAGCATCCATAAATCCAGTAATGCAATACAACAATTGACCTTTCCTTCCCCTTTATTGTGACATTGAGTTAAGGTCAAGTACGTTTCTGCCAAGATTGCTGGTACCAGATTCACGTTATGGTATTCCATCATTTGGAATACACTAATGGCTCCTAAGTCAATTATGCCAATTGATGATGGAAACAGGATTATTCCATATATGCATAAGGTAAAGACTCTGCAAAATGTAACCCAAGCCTCTTTTCCTGCCAAAACTTTCAAGTGGGCTTCTACATCAGCTCTTGAGATTCCCTCTGTTTGTCCTGGGCAAACCATTCGTACCTCTTCCTTAGGAATTTCCAAAATTTTCGCTATCGTACCTCGAGATGGTAAATACCCAGGATAAAGATATACTGCCATGTTCTCCTTAAGGGGCATTCTCAAAATTTCTCCATATTCTTCCAAAGTCGGTGCCATTTGGAAGTCTTGAAATGTGAAACATCTTAACGAGGCATCCCAATATTGGCTTAATTCCATTATTGCATCATTATGTATTGTGACCGACAGAAGATCCAAGATATTTCCATATTTCCTTTTAAAATCTTGCATAATCTTCCCTTTGATATGACGGCTCAACTCAATTAAGGTTTCCAGCGGCTCAACTTTTATAGATAATTTGATCCCTTTTCCCTGATATAACTTTCCAGTGTGACTTAGATTTGTACTACCGTCGAGTGCCATTTATCCCTTATGCCAATTTCACAAAGATTCTGGATAACTCACGGTTCCTGTTAATCAAAACAAAGGTTAATAATATACAATTCTCATAATTTTAGCAAGCTATCTGGCTCACTTTTTTTTAAAAACCCTCTCCTCCAGACACTTATTGCACCATAGGGAGATGGAGTAAACAATTAATGGACGAGAGGTTTAAATCCCCTACATGATTAATGTTGAAAGGTTTAGCCTTACAATCTTATTTTTGAGAAAAGAGAGAAAAAAAATGATGAAAATGATTTTGATAACAGATATGCAAGGAGAAAATCCATTCTCTCCTTAATGTGCTTATTACCCCATAGGGAGAAAGGGATTAATTAGCCTACGTGCAGCTAAAACTGACACATGGCTAAAGTCTCAACTTTAAAAATAACTCAATGACAAGAGAAACTATTTAATTTGTGTTTTTTTTAAAAAAAATGCGAATACTTTGTGATGACATGCTATGACAATGATGCAATAAAAGAGTAATACTCTCATCCTGCGTCCTATTCAGGGAGACTTAAGTTCATAATTGGGTGCTCACTAGAATGATTGGCTACTAGCTGTTGTCTGAAACGTGTAATTCACGGGTGGATGTATATTCCTAAAAGGCTCCCAAGATGCCCTCACACATAGGTGAAGACCTTACTTAATAATTTTGGCCCTCCGAGAACATAAGCTCTACAGGGACCAAATTTATTAGGCAAGTAACAGCTTGGGTGATGTATTCATGGTAACCTCCGAGAGTTCAAAAACTCCACAGGGAAACCACTACTAACCTCTACTAACCTATGGTACTCACAGACCCGGGTATAGGGCCTAAAATATGTGTGTGTCAAATTGTGTAAGTGTATAGTGTGATGAGAACATGCAAGCATGCTATCTTATTCTCATATGCTACCCAACTCCCAACTTTAATCAGATCAAATAGAGAAACAAATATATGTACAAATAAAAGTCATCTATCTTAAGGTTTATTCCGCGTGTTATCTACCTTCAAAACATGTTATAAAATATAAAAGGAAAGAGAAAAGGGAAAAAGAGAAAGGAACAAGGGACACATAAATTTAAAGGGATAATAAAGATAAACCATATTATATTTTGAGCACAACAGACTTATAGGCTTGACTCTCTAACTATCCCCAGTGGAGTCGCCAACTATCGCACCAGGAAAAATGCGACGCGGACGGCGCGCGAGTGGATTACCCGGCCTTCGCGACGGGAACCGGATCGAACGAGGAGTCGCCACCAAGATTTTGAGGTAAATCTCGGGAAACCGGTTAAAAGGAGGATAAGGGTGGTCTGCAAAATCAGAGAATAGGTTCGGGAGTCGGTTGAGTGTGGGGAAGGTGTTAGGCACCCCACAACACCCGTTCGTCAGAACAGTTACCTGAAGTTTGTTGTGCTCTTTTAGTATGGTTTTATAATTATTTTAATTATCCCTCTTGTATTCATGTGTTTGATAAAAAATGATAAGAATTATGTGAGAAATGTTTATTTATTTACGAGGGAGGACGGACTTGACTCAGAATCTGACTCTGAGGCCTACGTACCCTGTGATGGGGATCAAAGTCCACGTAGTTCGGACTTAAAAGTTGTTGATATAAAAATATTTTTTGAAGAGAAATTAATTATAAATAATTCACCATTTTGCAAATAAAACAATTTCTGAAATTTTGATATGTGTGTTTTAAATTGCAAAAGGTAATTTAATTTTAATTATTTTCTCCATTTTTGAATTTTTGGGATAAAGAAAGGAAAGGGTTTAAAATTACTTTTCTTTATATTTTATGATTAGAAATTTAATTGCAGTTCCTGTAGAACCTTATTGATTCATACGGTAATGCAATTGCTCTAAGTATCTGCGAAGATTCTGAAATCTCACATGATAGAAGAGTTTGGCAATTTAATTTATTTATTTATATTCTTATGTACATTTTAAGTATTAAAAATATATTTTAAGTATGTATATACATGTTTTGAAGAATTTTAATCATCATACCTGCAAAGCCTTATTGACTTATGCGGTAATATGATTATCCTAAATATCTACGGAGATTCTAAAATCTCACACGATACAGGAATTAAATTTAATTAATTGATTTCATTAATTATATAATATATATGTATATATATTTTAAAAACTAAATCGTTATATCTGCAGAGTCTTATTGACTCACATGATAATACGATGATCTTAGAAGCCTACGGAGATTCAAAAATCTCACATGACTAAAAGATATAATTGGTAAATATGGTTACAATTTAAATATATTAATTTGGTTAATTAAGTTTCTTAAATTGTATACTGTATGATTATTTACAAAAATTATTTATTTATTATAAAAATGGATGATCACTATATCTGCGAGGATTTATTATCCCACACGATAATATGATTAATTTAAGTCCCCAAGATTCTCGTAATCTTACACGGAACTTAAATGGATTATTTAGATTATAAAAAGACAGTTGGTTTTAACGGTTGGTCATTGAAACCATTGATTGTACATATAAATTGGATCTCTATACCTGCGAAATCTTATTGATTTACACGGTATAAGATCACTTTAAATGCCTGTGAAAATTCTTAAAATCTCACACGGCAAGTTAATAAAATACAAGAAACCTTCTCTTATTCATTTATTTTTTTTTAGATGAGAATTGAATTCTCTCCTCTTAATCTTTTATACAATTGTACATGTGGATAGAAAGTGTCATACGGTATGAGTGTAACAATATTATTGACAAGTAAAGGACCTTAGAATTAATGGAGATAAAAAAATAATGCTTATACATGTTAATATACACATTTAAAGACCTCGCTTAATAATTACACTAATTCTGTATTTGAAATGAAATTGTGCCTAATAATCAAATTTAGCTTAGCTATGATAGGAAACAAAAATTATCATTTGCAATTTCTCTATTATTTCTTTTTCAAACCCTCTTTTCTTAAAAAAAAAATATGACAATTGCAATGAAATCACTTGGGAGCTGAAAAATATGAGACAAAACATTTAGACATGAAATCCATTTTGGAATAGTAAACAGAAATTAAACACGTATATTTCGGATTCAGAAGCAAGAACCTGCGCGTATGGAACGTCCAGATCTGTCTCAGCCTCTTCTTTCTCCTCTCCGTTTCTGTTTCTTCTTTCTCCTCTCCGCCTCTTCTCTTCTTTTCCTTTCGTGCTCTATTTTCTGTTTCTTTCGTACGTACGTTTCTCCTTCCTTTCTCCAGCCAAAAAACGCACTCCTCTTCTTCGTTTCCTCTACTTTGTTCCAGCCGGAATAGCCTTTCTCCCTCAGCCTCTGTTTCACCTCTTTCGGTCCTCTCTCTCCTCTGTATATATTTTTTTACGTTGCATCCCCCTCCTTCTCGGTCACTCTTCTCTTCTCTTCTCCTTCGTTTTTTTTGTGCTCTGTTTTCTGTTTCTTCTGTCTGTCTGTTTCTCTCTTCCTTTCTTTCAGTCCAAAAAACCGTCCCTCCCTCTGTTTTTCATTCAGTCTTATATAGGGGATGGAAGAGGTGAATCATTGCTTTCCTGCTCTGCTTTTCCTTTCTGCTGCGTTTTCTGTGTGCGCCGAAGTCTGCTCTGTTTTTCTGCGTTTTTATCTCTATTTTCTGTGCTGTCCCGTCTGCTTTCTCTGCTGTGCCATTTCCTTCATGCATGCGTGCGTCCTTAGTTCTGTTTCTTTTCTCCTGCCAGCCGAAAGTATATGCGTACGTGTTCCGGTTGTTTACTGTTCTTTCTGCTCTGTTTTGCTTCTCCTGCGTTTCGTGTCTGTTGCCTCTGGTTCTTTCAGCGTCTGCAGCTCATGTGTTCGTGCGTTCTGCTGTTTCTGTCCTTTTTCCTGCTGCATGGCCGAAAGTGTATGCTTATTTTTGTTTCTGCGCCTCTGTGCCTGTGTTTCTTCGCTGTTTCTGCATTTCTTTGCTGTTTTTGCATTTCGTGTTTGCTGTCTCTTTGCTTTTACTGCTGTCTGGCTGAGAGTGTATGCGTGTGTGTACGTGTGTTTCATGTGTCCTGATGATGCTGCATGTATCTGTTCCTTCTTCTTCTTTTTCTCTTTTTTTATTCTTTAATGCCCTTTTTTTTATTAATTAGATTGAGGGGGAGAAAGAAAAGTTTAATTTTAAAACATATATTTTTAAATGAAAAACAAAAGATTTAAAAAAAATTTAAAAATAGTTGAGTCTCAAATATTGATTCCCAATATCTTTGAATTCTTTTTGAAAATATAATCCTAAAAAAAAGGATTAAATTTTATTTTTGTATTTATTATATGTTTTGATTATTATTATTAAAAAAGAGTCCGGACAAAATACGGTGTTCATAGTCAGATTAGAATAAGACGGTTTGATTCAAGTGGGATTGAGCTCACTGTGTGTTATACCGTGACATAAGCACATTGTGCCTCAGTGTAATGCCCAATTCTACACTTTAACATGTATGAATTAGCTTGAAATTTCATATGGAAACTTGGTGAAAGAGGGAAGCATGAAAGGAGATCATGAGTAGTTGAGCTAAGGCCTCTATTTAGACAAGATTAGAAGTTGTTTTGGATTCTCAAACATCCAAGTAAGCTTGCTAACTTTTTCTCCTCCTTCTCTAATTCATTTTTTTAAGGGTTGGAAGATTTGGAGGTTTTGAGTTTTGAGTTAAGGAAGGTTACACCTAAACCTTAGGTGATGTTTGAGCTTAATTTAAGCTTCTTTAAGTAGGACAAGTGTTAATTTGAAACTTAAGTGTTAGGACCTTGGGTCCGGATATACCTTAAGCAAGTTTAGGATTTGTTGGAGTTGTTTTTGTAATGTCTATCTTGACATTACCAAAACACAACACTAGGGGTGAGCAGACAACCTGCAACCTACAGGATGCGCCTGGACCCATTGAAAATAGGCAGGTAAAAACCCACTGATTTAATTGAAAACACAAGCAGGCTGCAATTACGGGCCAGTCCATATATCTTATGAA